TACAGAAAAATTCAGCTTCATTTACAAGAGCATTCTCTTTATGATTTGCTTCCCCTGAATCTCAACAAATACACAGAGAGGTATAGCTTGAGGCCCTTCAGTCTTTGGAACTGCTGGCCCCTTTTATGCTTTCTGTTTTATCTCATTGCTCGTTGTCTGTATTACTATTAATAATTATAAAAATACTTGACCCTTGTAGCTGATGTTAAATGGATCTTAGCTGAAAGCAGAGAATACCAGAGGAATGTCTATCTGTGTTTCATTGACTATGCAAAGGCATTTGACTGTGTGGATCATAACAAACTGTGGCTGACTCTGAGAAGGATGGGAATCCCAGAACACTTGATCATGCTAATGCAAAACCTGTACTTGGACCAGGAGACAGTGTCAGAACAGAGCAAGAGAACACTGCATGGTTCAAAATTGGGAAGGGAGTACGCCAGGGATGCATCCTGTCTCCATACCTTTTCAACCTATATGCAGAACAGATTATCCGGGAGGCTGGGCTCTATGAGGAGAAATGTGGGGTCAAGATTGGTGGATGATTTATCAATAATCTGCGTTATGCAGATGACACAACCCTGCTTGCTGAAACTGAGGAGGACCTGAAATGCTTGCTGCAGAGTGTCAAGGACTGCAGCCTACAATATGGATTGAGGCTCAGTGTCAAGAAGACAAAGATTCTTGCCACTGGACCAATTGGCAGCATCAGGATGGATGGTGAAGAGATTGAGATTGTACACAGCTTTAGTTTGCTTGGCCCCACAGTCAACAGTTTTGACACCAGCAGCCAGGAAATTAAAAGGCGCATTGCCATGGGAAAGTCTGCTGTTAGGGACCTCTCCAAAGTACTGAAGAGCAATGGTATCTCTCTGGAGACTAAGGTGTGTTTAATACAGGCCATGGTCTTCGCAATCACTTGTTATGCATCAGACAGAGAGTTGGACAATGACCAAGAAGGATAGAAGGAGAATTGATGCCTTTGAGCTGTGGTGCTGGAGAAGACTTGTATTGAGAATACCATGGACTGCTAGGAAAACACACAGATTCATCCTGAAAAGGATTAAACCGGGTGGCTCCTTGGAGGCAAGGATTCTGAGGCTCCGTCTAACATACTTTGGACATGTTGTGAGGAGAGACCAGTCCTTGCAGAAGGACATAATGCTTGGGAGGGTGAAGGGACGGCACAGGAGGGGAAGTCCCTCTATGAGGTGGATTGATTCAGTGACTGGGATAATCAGGATGGGAGTGTCAGAGACAGTGTGATTGGCACAGGACAGAGCATAGTTTAGGGCTGTTGTACATAGGGTCGCTATGAGTCGCAAGCGACTCAACCGCACATAACAACAACAAACAACACTTGACCCTTGGTATGCAACAATTTTTCATGATGGAAAACTCAGATTATGAAAGAGCTGAACACATTTTCTTGGAGACCAAACATAGGGGTAATCCAGTTACATTGCAACTCCCTAAGGACCATGCCACCAAAGCTCCTTACTTCATTAAGATTATTCAGAACTCCAAATCACGGACAGTCAGGTAAATTCCAGCACACCCTCCACTGGGTTTCTGAGGCTGTAAATGTCAAGTGGAGGCAACTGCCTGTCTTTCTCCCTCTCTTCAGCCGGTGGATTCCAGCTGCTGGAAAGTGAGCCATTTTTGGTTAGTGCAGAATCCTAGAAAGTACCTTCCCAAGAAAACATTATAGAGCTGTTCTGCTCTAAATACTCAAGATTGACCTGAGTCAGAATTAATTGCCTACTCATGGGTTTGGCTTTTCCCCAATGATATGATTTTTATATCTTTAATACCCAAAACTCAAAACCTTAGTTTTAAAAAGAAATAACAAACATGATTATGTAAAAAATTCGGAGGGAAAGCTATTTTCAGTATATTGAAAAGCAAACTAGAAAGTTTGTTACATGATATATATGAACAGCTCTGTTAGCGTAGTCTATAAAGAGTTCTTGCTGATGCCAAGGCCAGGTCTCTGCAATTTTTAATTCACTAATTCAGGTGGCCTGGTAGTAAGGAGAAGAGCTGCCAACCCAAAGGCAAAGTAGTTTGAATCCAATAAATGCTGTGAGGGAGAAAACAAGGCAGTCTCCTCCCATGCGATTTACACCTCTAAAAACCTATGGAAGCTATGAGTTGGTTTTACTTTGACAACACATAGTTACTCTACAGAGGAAAAATGGGCAATCCTCTCTTATCCAATTTACAGTCTAAAACTTGTAAAGATGGAAGATCAAGGAACGAGAAAAAAGAACGTTAATGAGGTGGACTGACTCAGTTACTCAGACAGCGGGTTCAAGTGTGCCGGAACTGGGAAGAATGATAAAGGTAACAGGATAGAGTTCAGGTCTGTTGTGTATAGGCTTGAATGAGTTGTACTTGATTAAATAGCACCTAACAACAACATACCTAACAATAATAGCATACATATCTGTCCTTTGTAATATTCTTGTTACATTGCTTATGTATCAAGCCTTACTCAATTAGATCAAGAAAGTGAGAGAAAAATGGTGAAAATTCACAGAAGACGAAAATACTCTTGAAAGACTATTTAGATTCACAAGTATTTAAGCTAAAACATTAAGATAATGTTAAAGGATTGATAGTATTCCAATGTCTGTAACTTGACCTAACTAGTCTTTAGTAGACAATTGGTCAACATCTATCAACATTTTAAATACGGATAATCTATGATTTATATGTTCCATTTTAAGTCTTTAACTTACAATTGTGAATAGTTCTTCCAGATGTCAAACAAATGTGACAGAAATAAAGTATACTCTAGTCATTTTATAGTAGTGAAAAATAAAGTGGAGACGAAAATTTCCATTAATGTATTTATTTTGCAGAGTCCCTGGGTAGTAAATCATATGCTTAACTGCTGACCTGAAGTTTGGAGGTTTCAGGTCCACCTAGAGGTTATTGGGAAGAAAGTGTTGGCTGTCAATACACAAGTAGTCAGTCACTGAAAACTCTGTATGACATAGAATTGTTCTTTGATGGAAATGGAGAAGGAGGAGGAGAGGAAACTTTAAAATAGGTACAGGTAAAGGCCAAGGCAGTAAGGCATAGATCAGACATTTTCACAGGGGGCAAAGCTCAGGCTTACAAGAGGTTAAATAGCTTCCCTAGTGACTAGAGGTCACTAGGAAAATCCTTAGGTTTATGGCAGGCATACGTAGCCCATGACCTAGGTGCCACTTGAGATGGGGACATCATAGCAGTTTTAATAGCCTTCATAGTTTTCAGTGTCAATTGTGAGGGATCATTCGGCAATTAAAAACTAATTGCCACAGATGCTTCTCTTTTTTTAAGTGGATAAACCTCTGTCAGTGGCACACAGCTAGTATGTTGTGAATATGATGGCTTTTACTGTAAAGCAAGCAAGTCTTTCTGGATCTAAACCCTCTGCACTCATTTTAGACTCTGCAGTCATCTCAGAATGGTTTCTAATGTTATGATGGCTCCCCCGTTTTCTCATTTCATCTCAGCTTTCAGATTACCCCAGTCAGGTTGGTTCTGTTTCAAGGGTCCATACCTGGTCAGATCTTGAGTCCCCTCAAAGCCCAACTACTAATCTCAGGTATTACACGCAGGTTTTTTTGGTTTTTTTAGATCTTCTTCCTCTCTAATTTTCCTACTTCTGTACCACTAAGTGCTATAGGTCAATGCTTTATTTCTGTACTAGTCTACTTTTCAAGTGGCAGTATTATTATGTTACAACTACAGTGATTTTGGATGACGGCAGAGGTTACTAAGGATGGTGGAGAATGAGACAGGCACTTAAAGAAGAGATTTCAAACCTCTCACTGCTGTCACGTAGGAACTGACTCCAGCTCACCCTCCAGGGGTTTCTGACTGTGAATCGTATGGGAGGACACTGTCCAGCTATCCCATCAGAGGCTGTTGGATCTGTACCTCCAGATCAGTACAGTATTAGGGTTAGCAGCACAACTCCCGTGGACTAGTCCATCAGAGCTTTTTGACGATATTCTGTGCTAATTCCATAGGAGAAAGATTGTATTTGTAGAGAGCACTTTGAGTATGCCAGGGAACCAGGTTTGTGAGTTTGATGATAATTCAATTTAAATATGATATATCACACATTTTAAAAAATTCTAAAAATGAGTTAGATGGCTCTGAAACAAAAAACATGCTCCATCTTGTTAAATGAAAATGATGAGGGACTCAAATCCAGGAGAGCTTGGAGACTCAAAGTCCTTTTGTAGGCTACCCTCTACACTTATCTGACAAATTAGAAATCTGTAGCTTAGCCATTGAGTACAATATCCTTTAAGATAGCTCTTCTCATGCTCTAGATTGTTTTCTTGTAATGGTGAGTAATTTCTTAAATTTTCATCATCTACTATTTTTTACTCCATTGCCTTTTAAACATTATCTGCCCATTGAAACCATCTAGGGGAGTATAAAATCCTGCAGCCTCACTCTTAGACCCAGAGCTTCTGATTTTGATAGCTGAACGTTGTGATCTGGGCATGGAGATTTTTAAAGCCTTTCTAGTGAGCCTAATGCACAGCAAGATTTGGTAAACACTAGATTCTGAGGAAAGAAACCCCACATCAAAACCCTGTTTATATAGTAGAGTTGAACGTCATCCCATCCTGTGCCATCTTCACACTTTCTAATACATTAGAGCAGCCACCATGTCAATCCACCTGGTTGAGGGTCTTCCTCTCCTTCGTTGACCCTTGACCCTCCCAAGCATCATGTCCCTCTCCAAAGAATCACACAGTAGTATTCGTCTAAAGAGAAAAGTCAGAAGTTGAGGTTTGTTTGGTTTTTGTTTTGTTTTGTTTTTTTTTAGTTGAGAAGTAGATTTAAGTAGAGGATATATTTAAATAATTTTTACATAGAAGAGAATAATATACGATAAACTGGAAGATATAGACATGAGGATGGGTGAATATAGAATAATTGATAATGTATAGAGAGAGATTAAATTGAGATCCAATGGGAGGCATTTATCTAAACACTTTAACAACACTTGAGAACATCTGTTTAGCCCCTTCCAAAATCTGCTTGGTTCTTACTCCATAAATAATGGGATTGAGCATGGGAGGGATGACCACATAGAGGTTGGCCAGCAGAATATGGACATAACGCGGGATGTGTCTCCCACCAAACCTGTAGGCAAAGACGGAGAAGAGGGCAGGGATGTAGAAGAGTAGGATGACACAGACATGGGAGCCACAAGTGCTTAGGGCCTTGGAACGGGCGTCTTGAGAAGGGAGACGAAAGACAGCGTGGAGAATGTGGATGTAAGAAATGGTGATGAGGATAATGTCCAGTCCTGTGGAGAGAAGAGCAGCGGCCAGCCCGTACCAGACATTGATGGAGATGTCAGAACAAGACAAACGGGCAATGCCCATGTGCTCGCAGAAAGTGTGTGCAATGACGTTAACTCGGCAGTAGTGCAGGCGCTTGAGGAGAAAGATGGACGGAAACATGATCATGAAGCTGCGAGTCAACGTGGCCACGACAATCTTCCCAATGACTGCGCTGGTGAGGATCGTGGCATATCGTAGAGGAGAGCAGATGGCCACATAACGGTCAAAAGCCATGGCCAGCAAGACAGCAGAATCTGCTACGAAGAGGAAGTGGATGAAGAACATCTGTGTGAGGCAGCCTTCAAAGGAAATATGGCCAGAACCAAACCAGAAGTTAGCCAGAGCCTTCGGCATGGTGGAGGTGGAGAGAAGGACGTCAGCACCAGCTAGGAGGGAGAGGAATATGTACATGGGCTCGTGCAGGCTTGGCTGGGAGAAGATGACACAGATCAGAACACCATTTCCTGCCAGGGCAGCTATGTACATGGCACAGAAGGGGATGGAGAGCCAGATGTGCAGGTGCTCCAGGCCAGGGATACCTGTGAGGAGGCAGCCTGCCGAGCGGGTATCAGAGCTGTTCAGAGGTGCAGGGATGTTGGCAGATGAAAGGGTCATGATTTCCTGCAGAACTCTCACCTGTGTCATAGGGGAAAATAGCTTCAGACTTTTAACACACTGACACAATGTACATAAAGTCTCGCAAGCAACCCATAAGATCTGTATAGTATCACAAGGGCTTCCTACACACTTAAGTTCTGTAACCGCGATGTGCTCCACACTAGGCACATGACATGGCCACACCCACGAGCTTTGCAAAATTGCAGTTATAGAACCTGCGCACAGATAGACTTTGCTTCTTTGTCCTTGTTGTTAGCTGTCACAGAGTCAAGACCCTACTCACTATGACCCCTGTGCACAATAGATCGATGTACACTCCATGGTCAATGGTGGGGGACTCAATTCACTGTGATTCATACAGTTTTCACTGACTGATTTCCCGAAGTAATCCCCCAGGTCTTTATTATGAGTCTATTTTAGCCCAAAATATTCATCATCATAGCAACATGCCAGCCTCAACTGAGAGATGGGCAGTGGTTGTGAATAAGGGGCATCAGTAGGAATCAAACCTGGAACCCTCCTAATGGAAAGTGAGAATTTACCATTGAACCTCCAGTGCTTCTCTCTGTTTCTTATTCTTTTGAGTACTTATTCAATTTTCTCCACTAAGAGCAAGGGAACACTGCATGGTTCAAAATTGGGAAGGGTGTACGCCAGGGATGCATCTTATCGCCATATCTTTTCAACCTATATGCAGAACAGATTATCTGGGAGGCTGGGCTCTATGAGGAGAAATGTGGGGTCAAGATTAGTGGACGATTTATCAACAATCTGCGTTATGCGGATGACACAACCCTGCTTGCTGAAATTGAAGAGGACCTGAAGCGCCTGCTGCAGAGTGTCAAGGACTGCAGCCTACACTTTGGATTGAGGCTCAATGTCAAGAAGACAAAGATTCTCACCACTGAACCAATTGGCAGCATCAGGATGGATGGTGAAGAGATTGAGATTGTACACAGCTTTAGTTTGCTTGGCTCCATAGTCAACAGTTTTGGCACCAGCAGCCAGGAAATTAAAAGGCACATTGCCATGGGAAAGTCTGCTGTTAGGGACCTCTCCAAAGGACTGAAGAGCAATGGTGTCTCTCTGGAGACTAAGGTGTGTCTGATACAAGCCATGGTCTTCACAATCACTTGTTATGCATCAGAGAGTTGAACAATGACCAAGGAGGATAGAAGGAGAATTGATGCCTTTGAGCTGTGGTGCTGGAGAAGAGTATTGAGAATACCATGGACTGCTAGGAAAACAAACAGATTTGTCCTGGAAAGGGTTAAACTGGGTGGCTCCTTAGAGGCAAGGATTCTGAGGCTCTGTCTAACATACTTTGGACATGTTGTGAGGAGAGACTGGTCCTTGGAGAGGGGCATCATGCTTGGGAGGGTGGAGGGATGGCGCAGGAGGGGAAGGCCCTCTATGAGGTGGATTTATTCAGTGACTGGGATAATCAGGATGGGAGTGTCAGAGACAGTGCGATTGGCACAGGACAGAGCATAGTTTAGGGCTGTTGTACATAGGGTAGCTATGAGTTGCAAGCGACTCAACGGCACATAACAACAACAACAACAAGGTTTTCCAGCAACTGGAAGTGAAAACATGGCCAGACTCAGCAAAGTGCTTCAGACTCTGAAATAGCAGAGATGGCTGTTGTTACTGAAAGATGCTATTGGGCCGACTACAACTCACAGCAACCCTGTGAACCACAGATTGAAGCCTTGCCCTGTTCTGCACCATACTGACAGTCTCCACCTTGCCTTAGCCCACTGTTGAAAGTTATTTTGCTGATCCATCTGAAGATTGTAAAAAACATACATCTTTATAGTTAGGAGAACTCGTTGAACTCTGTAATGCCCTCCGCTCTGCCAAGAGGGGGTGCAGCTCCCCTGCAGAGAGACAATGCCTTTGTCATCTAGCATTCTTCATGGAAACATAAGGTCAGCAGGGGTGGGTCCTGTAGATTGTATATCTGATTTCCTCAAGTCACAGCTGTTCTGACAAGTATGAGGGTGTTGATGACAGCTGTAGTATTTAAAAGGAACATTGGGCAGAAGAAGAATCAACTTGAGTCAGAAATCTGATCTGTATGTTATTGTTTACATAAACTTGGACAAACATAATGGCTACCCTGTTTATATAAATTAGATTAAGTCAGTAGAAGCCTTATTAGACTGCATGGTGCTTTTTCTTGGACTATGGATCATGATCATGTTCAGACAATGGTTCTGAAAGTATGATCAAAAGAATCAGTATCATAAGGGAGCTTACAAATTTTGAGTCCTCCTTCAAACTTGATCAATGAAAAATCTGAAATGAGGACTGGCAGTCTTCATTTTAATACCTTTCTAAGCCTTAACAAATGATTCTGATGTATAGTAAATTAGTGAACCACTGGTGTTAAGAATTTAAAAAATTTTCTTTCCTATCTTTTCTAAGGAGTCCTAGGTGATGCTGTGAGGAGCTCAACTAACAACCAAAGGGTTGGCAGTTTGAGTCTACCTAGGCATGCCTCAGAAAGAGGCCTAGCCAGTGCTTCTCAAAGATCAACTAGTTGATAAACTCAATTGCAACTGGTTTATCTTGCCCAAACTTTTGGTTTTTTTCTTCTGTCAACTTTCACTTTAAATAATAAGACCACATTTCTTTCCATTTCATTCTTAAGCCTCTGACATATTCTTACCCTGGCTCATATTCTTATCTTAAGCTCTAAGTAAAAAAAAAAAACGTCCAATACATTTATATAATTGACCCTTTACAAATGGAGACTTTTTTTTCTCCCCTCTATACTGAAACCTGTTATGTTTTGATTAATTTCTTCATTTTGTAACCATCACTTCCCTCCGAATTGGGTCCAAATATTTTTATTCTCCTCTCCTCTCTTCCATGTCACTCATTTACAAGTTCATTTCTGTAACATAGTCAGGGTTCTAGACCTTTAGTGTTTTTATCTATTGTTCTTTCTACCCAGAAGCCATCTCTTCTGCTGTTTCAGGGATATCATCTCACCTATTTTTTGAGTCCCTTGCCTACCAGACCCTGTAGAGATCTTTCCCATTTACCCTTCATAAATTATTCCCTTATATGATTTAATTGCCTTTTTTCTTTTTCTATTGTCCTCAGTGTCTGGGGAGAGAATCTGTCCATTTCTTTTATTCTCCTTAAGTAGACCAGAGTTATTGTCTCATCAATCGGTCTATCCTTAATCAACTCTCCAAATTACCCTTCTCCCATTCTATCCTTTGGGGGTGGGAGAAATAACTTGTTTTACTGTATTATTGAATTCCTCCCTCTTACTCTCTGTTCATCTTTGAAGCTTACAAGAAAGTTACCCATTTATCTGGGACTCATTCCCACCCTTTGCTCTATAAGTTTTCTCCTTACCTTCCTAAAACAGTCAGCCCAGACGTACCTCCCTGGTATCACCTTCTTGGACTCTGTGTTTTTCAGTGTAGCGTTCCACGCACAGCTCAGGCCTCTATATATAGAATGAGTCCCCAGACTTGCCTCAAGCAGTGTTTATTTCTTCTTTTCCTCAGGGAGCAGGTATTCTCCTCCTGGTACATCCTTCTCTTTCTCTGTTCCTCATTTGTCTCTTTCATTTGCTCTAATAGTCCCCTATTCAACACAGGGATCTAGGGTGAAAAGGAATGTACATTGATATAGAGATAGGTTAGAAGTGACCTACCGACGGGAGCTCTGGTGGCACACTGCATGACATATTGTACTGCTAATTCAAAGTTGGCAGTTCAAATCCATCAGCTGCTCCTCAGGAGAAAGATAGTCTTCTCCCATAAAGATTTACCACATTGTAGACCTGATTAAGAGTCATCATGAGTCAGGATCCACTTGATGACGCTTGGGTATGAATGTCCTATAGTCAGTACTGACTCAGAGACTTGTGGTCTTATAATTTTGCATCTATCTTTATATATATATATATATATATTCCTTGATATAATACTAGGGTTTTGTGCCCCTTGCCTGCATTGCAAGCCTCTCTTCCTTCTTCTCATTATCCTTCTCATTGCACTGTCCCTTCCAATGTCTGTATTCATAATCTTCCCAATGCCTTCAAATTCCTGTGTCGTTCACACTCGGTGATCTCTCCTCATCACTTCCACTGCCTCTATAAGGCCTTCATATTCACAAATCATTCTAAGCGAAGGAATGTATTGGGCTGATTATCCCTTTCTTGCTCATCCAACCATTGACAATCCTTGAAAGATGCTTTCTTTGAGCATGACCCATGTCAGGTCATCAGTTTACTATGAGGAGATCTGGAGAATTAATTAGAAACAAACACCTAGGTTTTGGAGTCATTGGCTATGAAAGCCATCCTATAAGAAAATCAGCATAAGAAATAAAAAGCGTTATCCCAATTCTATGTATTTTCATTTTGACAGAAATGAAATGTCTTTCTCCCTTCTCAGTTGAGCACCGCTTTTCCTGTCTTTGTATCTATACCCTCAGTTGTGCTCCCTCCTGTATTCTTCTATTCTTACCCTTTTAAATGGCTCTATCGCTTTCTTACCCACCACCAGGATAAAAAGTACATGCCTATAAGTACTCTCTGGTGGCTTAGTAGTAAAGAATTGCACTGCCAATGCAAAGAGAAATGGTTCGCATCTACCCGCTTTTCCACAGGAGAAAGACGGGCAGTCTCCTTCCATGCGATTTACTACCTCTAGAAACCTGGTCAGCTGTGAATTGATTCTGGCTCACTGGCATACAACAACAACAACAATATGAGTACTATCTGAGCACCTAGTGGCACAGTGGCTAACAGCTAACTATAAGATTGTGAGTTCAAATCTAACAGGGTTGCAGAGTGGATTATATTTGGGGGTAGGGGGTGGGGTTTGGGGAGG